TTAATATTGCTTCTAGTTCATATCCAAGGAACAATACAGTTCTCTAATGAAACAAACCATCTGAATACAATATTTATCTTAAATGAAGGACAGAAAGAAGAACTTAATTTTTTGACTATTACAGAGGAATTAAATTTTTTATTCTGCCCTATATTCAAATAGACCTAAATAAATCTCTTTCTAATCATAGTAACACCCAACAACATAAACAGCAAGATCTGGCAGCCAACAGCAGCCTGATGAGCCTCCTTGTGATGATCAAAGAACTTTTTATTTGTAAAATTTACAAAGTAAAACCTAGGACCACACAGCTTTATTTCTAGGGCCTGAAAATGTAATTTTAGCAAAGATCAAGTTAAGCCAAATTCAATTGTAAGAAAAAACTTACTACTGACTATAGGTATTTGGGCACACTGGTCTGAGGCAATTAACACAAAAACAATTTGAAGGATAGGTTCTCCTTGAAAGATCCAAATCCTATACATACTTCACTAGCTCAAGGGCTGCCTGCAAATGAATGAATGCTTGGGATAGCGAGCTCCCTATGAAGATAATAGCTAGCAAGGCACTTGTGTGGCTTGTATCATTAACCGTTACAGTAATCCTAGAGGTGGATACTTTTATTAGGGCCCATTTTACAGACATGGGAGGAGGTACCTTAAATAACTTGCTCTAGGTCACAGAGCTGGTGGACCAGGATTCAAAGCTTAACTCTGGATCCCAGGCTCTTAATCATGACACCATACTATTTTCAGATTCCACAAGCACTTACTGTTAACTAGGAAAGCTATTTTCAGTATCAGATTGTAGTCTTTCAATTCTCCTTTCACAGTATTATTTGCAAAGTACTGAGTATTAGTAAAAAGCACTACGCTCCTACAACTCTTATTAACCCCACCATGCCACCTTTGATTATTCTTTATAGGACAAAAAGGGGCTGGAGGGAGAGGTGTACATTCACATTTTCTGAGCAACCCCCCTGAGATTTGTTCCACAACACAGGCTGTATAAAATGAGAACAAATAAAACCTTTTGTGCGTTGATAGTAATTTAGATGTACTATTCTGAACACTGTGTCACCAACGTCATAGGCTGATTTTTAATTCATCTACCCAAACAGGGGGGAGAGTAAGGGGAACTCTTCAGTACTTTAAGAAATGTACCGTGTCCTACTATGCCAACATTTTACCAGAAAACTTTTACTCTTTGATCTTGCCAAATCTTCTGTCATAGCCCATAGCACGTGGTAGCAGCAAGCTTGGCGTATGTCTCCATTAATTTTAAGCTCCTTTAAATCAAGTAGCATCTTTTTTTTTTTTTAAGATTTTATTTATTTATTTATTTGACAGAGAGAGACAGCAAGGGAGGGAACACAAACAGGGGGAGTGGGAGAGGGAGAAGCAGGCTTCCCGCGGAGCTGGGAGCCCGATGCGGGACTCGATCCCAGGACCCTGGGACCATGACCTGAGCCAAAGGCAGACGCTTAACAACTGAGCCACCCAGGCGCTCAATCAAGTAGCATCTTTATCTATTTCTATGTCTTTAGTAGACGTAAGGCAGTGCTCGACACATAACATGCTCAAAAGCCCTTTGCAGTAAGGGATGAGCGGGTGAAGCGAGCCCGGTTCAATCTGACCTCTCTCCTAACCCTTCATCCATGTCTCCGGGCTGGGCTGTGGGTTCAGTCAAGAGACAGCTGACCCAAAGCCTACAGGGGCCTTTAACTCTCAAGAACGCAGCACAGCAAAACTCGGAGCCCAAGGGCAGGCAGGGCACGAAGGCACCGGAAGGCGAAGCGCGGGGCGTGCCCGCTGACCCTCCCCGCTTGCGCACTGACCAAGCATCGCGCGCCTTCTTGGTCTCCGGGCAGGCGCAGCAGGGCTTCAGCGGCTTCTTCTCCTGTGAGTCAGACGGGGTAGGGCTTGCGGTCGTCAGACCAGGCATCTTTGAAGCCTAAAGCAGCAACTAGCACCGCCACCCCTACACTCTCCCAGGCTTGGCGAAGGCCGATTTGCCCGCAGTCACTTCCGACAGTGGCTCTACAAGGGACAGGAAGTCCTGCCTCTCTCAGACCCGGAGGGAATCAGGAAGGCGAGAAAAGGTAAAAAGTGGCGCCTGCGCAGGACAGGCTAAATGAATTATTAAGGCGAGGGCGCCTCTTCCGCGCAGGTGCAGAGAGGCGGGGTGAAAGGGCAAAGTTTGTCAATCAACTGGGGGACGACTCGCAAAGGAAGAGAGAAATGAGGTCATATTTCTTAACCTCTCCGCCTAGCAGTGGAAAATCGAAGCCGAAGAAGGTGAGATGACTTGTCCACGCTAAACATGAGAAACCACTAATGAGAGCCAGCTCCACCCAGTAACGGATTAGTTCCGCATGTTTCCTGTTGTATTATCTGCCCTCCTCTCCCTCCGCAGCCCCACCTCCACCTCCGTCTTTTTCTGATTTAGTTAAAAATGATCAGCAAAGACATTTGAACAATGCAATCCACAAGTATGGGGAAAAAAATTCTGCTAATATTCATACCGTATACCATACACTTTAAATTCTTAACGGGGGCGCCTGGGTGGCTCAGTTGGTTAAGCGACTGCCTTCGGCTCAGGTCATGATCCCAGGGTCCTGGGATCGAGTCCCACATCGGGCTCCCGGCTCGGCAGGGAGCCTGCTTCTCCTTCTGACCCTATCCCCTCTCATGCTGTTTCTCTCTCTCTCAATCAATCAATCAATCAATCAATTCTTAACGAATTGGTGTTTATAGCTCCCTTTCTAACTTACTTGATTTCAGTATGAATTGTTCAATCATAGGGCAAATATACCAGGTAATAAAATTGAAAAATGATTTTCCTTGGCATTTCTTGAATTCGATTGGTATAAGTAAACTGGCACCTACTATTTGCAATTGTGGGTTTTTTTGTTTTTCTTTTTGTTTTTCCCGCAGAGAATTGTTGGAGAAAGGGAATGAACTTATTTTTTAAAGCAGGACTTCAAGGCATTGTTCAGATAGCTGCCTAGTGATTGATATTTTGGGTAATCAGACTTTCAGTATCACCTAACAAAGGTTTGTTTCTGTATTTCAGAGATTTAGCTCAGGGAATTCATTGGTATGTCTGTGAACTGGTGCTATATGGAAGTAATTTCTTTTTTTAAAAAAGATTTTATTTATTTAAGAGAGAGAGAAAGCATGAGAAGGAGGAGGATCAGAGGGAGAAACAGACTCCCTGCTACGCAGGGAACCCATGCAGGACTCGATTCTGGGACTCCAGGATCATGACCTGAGCCGAAGGCAGAGGCTTAACCAACTGAGCCACCCAGGCGCCCTAGAAGTAATTTCTCTATGTGTATTTTCCAAATTATTAAAACCATCCCTATTTTGTCATCTAAAAACTTTTAATGAGCATGATTTTTACCTCATTATGGATTGGTATGTTTAAAAATACAACATATTGTCCTTATGTTCTCCTAAAATAACCCTTATCTACCATTATTAGTTCTTTCAACTAGGTGTTCACTACTCTTGTTTAATATCTTGCTATTTAAAGTGTTTCTTGGACTACCAACCTCAACATCAGTTGGAAAGGTAATGTACAATAAACATGGCTGCACAAATCAATGCGAAAAAGAAACAAATGGAAGAAAATTAAATACTACATCAAAAGGTGGGGCTCTGGATGCATTAAAGGTGTACATGTGAAAGATCAAACTAAGAAATTAATAGAAGGTAGTGATAATAGAGGAGCATATCTTTTTTTTTTTTTTTTAATCATCCCAACTTTAGGGTGCCTGACTGGCTCAGTCAGTGGAGCGTTTGACTCTTGATCTCGGGGTCATGAGTTCGAGCCCCACGCTGGGTTTAGAGATTACTTAAAAATAAAATCTTAAAAAAAAAAACCCATCCCAACTTTAATAGCATGCCTCTGTTACTTAGGACCCCAAAATACATTAATGTAAAGTTGGTGAAGGTTATCTTTATACTGAGAAGGGAGGTACAACCTATTTGACAACATTTCAAAAGCACAGATTGTGTCAACACAAATTGAACAAACCATTTAGAATCTCTAAAAGTAAAGAGAGTTTTATTTGAGCCCAAGTTAAAACAGCTGCCCAGGAAATACACTCTTCACAGGGAAGAAAGTACTGTGGAGAATGAACAGTTTTTTACAGAGTTACATACTTTTTTACATCTTGTAAAAGCTCAAAAGATTACAGGTTAGCATATAGGCAGGAATGACGAGTTTTATTGTAAAGGAATGCAGGGAACAGGAATGTTGATTGATATCTCAAGGACAAGAGGGTTTTTCCTTTAGGCTACCTTTCCTTAGGCTACACAAGCACACGTACAATGCATGTATGGCAGGCCATAGTCAGGCCTTCGTTTTGAACAAAGTTTATGTACAGTCATGCTAACTTAGGAAGAAATCTAAAATGGCTTCCCTTATATATCAGGCCTTTAGAGAGTTTTTCTCTCATCATTAGTAAAAGGAAAAAAAAAGATGAAGTTAATTACATCAAAACAAAGGCTTGATGTTTTCCGTAGGACATGTTAAATTAATTAAAGAAGCCATCAGACTGATGTAGCCCTAATGCTGCAGTGGCCTACATTAAGCAAACCAAAAATTAAGCCTATAAATACCTCAAGGTTACAAAATCAAAATGCTAAGGACAACCATTCACAAACAGCCAACTCAAGTTTAAACTGTAGCCAGTCAATAATTTGTTTACTTTTCTTCCGCCTTCTCTCTGTAGAAGCCTCTCTCTGAGCTCCTGTCAGTGGAGTGAGTGTTCCTAACCGTTTCTGCTGCCCAATTTGTACCAATTCTTGTTCAAACGAACTCTTAAATTTTTATTATGCCTCGGTTTATCTTTTAATAGAAACTATAGACAAAGTTAACACATAGATGATGAATTGGTCAAAGATACTTGAAATATCTAAATCCAACAAGGGATTGATGTCTAGAATATTTAAGGAACATATAGAAAGTAACAATAAGAATAGCAACCTCAATAGAGAAATGGAAAAGGGTTATGAACAGACAGTATTAGAAGCAGAAATGTTCAAGCAACTTTTTTGTTTGCCTATTTACTGCAAGAGGATATGTAGAATATATAGAAGAAAGAAACTGAGGCCAGCACTTATAAAAAGAGCTATTCCAAACAAGTATGAATCATAGATATGGAGAATAAAACAACAGTGAAGTATCACTTTAGACTCATTAGACTGACAAAAATTAGAAAGCTGAATAATGCCAAGTACCTGTAAGGATGTAGGAATCCTTCCAGGTTACTGTTGGGAATGTGGAATGGTCCTGCCATTTTGGAGGGAAGTTAGGCAGTATCCAGTTAATTTAAGAGTAGATGCATATTCTGTGACTCAGCAATTCTGTTTCTGGATCTATATTCCAAAGACTTCCTCAGCAAGTCCATAAGGGAACATATATGGGGATAATTGTCACAGCATGTTTATGGGGCAGAGAATTGGAGGCAATGTGGGCATTCATCACTGCGGGGGTGGATAGGGAAATGTAGTGTACTAGGCACATACTAGAAGACATTGACAGCATACACAAAGTAACATGGACACATTTTTAAAAGAGTGTGGGTAGTGAAAAAAGTAAGAAAGAGAATAGATACATATCCCAATACCATTTACATAAATTTAAAGAAGGGGTACAAAACCCAAAAATACACATAAGAAGGCATATATGTAAAAAGACTTGCTTTAAACAGAATGGTTATGAAGGAAGGTAAGTGGGGGAAGAGAATGGGAATAAATGCAAATAAAGTGATCTTTCAGGGACCAATGATGACAATGTGTCATGCACAGAGCAGGATAAAGAAGGCAATTATCCACACGTGAAAAACAAGGAAAACTATGCTGGTAGCATCCCACTACATGCAATTTGGAAAACACTGCTTCGTAGGGTAATAATTGAATTTAATTATTTTGATGTCCTCTTTCATTACCCTTGTAGGTGGTGTTAAACAAGGTAAGTTTTATTCTAAGAGCTTTAGCCGTGTCCTTGCTTTTAAGTAAAAATAATCATTTTGTTATAAAGACATATTGTGAATTTGTAGATGATGTGCTGTGATCTTGTCATACTCATTTTGGTGCCCCAACAGTAGTTAGCAGATGGTAGACACAGCATAAAGTTTTATTCAGGCAAATTATTCCAAAGAAAGCTTTATTTTGCCCTGTTGCTACAAAGAATCTTCAAGTATTTTTTCCCATAGGTCTATCTTAAATAAGGAGAGAGACAAAAAGAAAATGTTGTTTGAACTGATTTTTCCCTCTAGTATTGTCCAATAACTCTCATATTGGCACTGATAATTCTTAATAGAGAAGCCAGATTTGTAAGATGGGCCCACTTAAAATGTATAAGCTGTTGAAATGGCAGCATAATCTTCAGCTGTAATGTCTTCCATACACGATGAGTTTGTGAACCATCATTTGATCTTCACAGCAGTTGAGCTTACTATTTACATTATAGATGAGAACATTGAGAGATGGATATGATTTGTTTGTTCAAGGTCACATAACTCGTAAGTGGTAGGCCTGAGACTCAACATCATCTCCTTCTAAGGTCTGTGCTCAATCTACTATCCCACTTCATTTGTCTAAATGCAAGGTGAATATTTCTTATTTTTAAATTAATCATTGATCTCTAATGTGCTACTGAACTTTGGTGTCTAGGAAATCAACAAGGAAGAAAAGAGAAAGAAATATCTGGGAGAATTTAGGGAGTTAAGAGAACCATGTAGATGTAGATTATAGACCAAAATGCTGTAACAGTTTCAGCAATTGAGAAAAGATTTTTCTTGCCCACTCTCCTTCCTTGCTTCAGTGAAGAAAGTGTACTGCAGTGACAACACTCTGATTTCCTCAGGGTAAGCTAGTATTGGCAGGCCTCGGGCAAAGAAGTTGGGTAGCAGCCCCTTCTTGCCCTGTCCCCACTTCCTTTAACAGGCTGTGTTCCACATATTAGCAAGCTCTTAGTTTCCTCCCTGAGCACTGTGACTCTTTTATTTTTAATTTTACTTTATTTTATTTAAATTCAATTACTTAACATACAGTGTATTATTAATTTCAGAGGCAGAGTTCAGTGATTCATCAGTTGAGCAACTGTGTTGCTTTAAACCCTTCCAACAACTGCTTCTTCGGGATGGAATATTCTCCTGCCCTTGAAAAAAAGACCAAAAGATAATCCTTTCCAAAATGAAATATTTATGTTATTCATATCCAGCTACTTACTTCTCCTCTTGTTTCAGAATGGTACAGTTAGGGGGCACCTGGGTGGCTCAGATGGTTAAGCATCTGCCTTCAGCTCAGGTCAAGATCCCAGGGTCCTGGGATCGAGCCCCACATTGGGCTCCTGGCTTGGTGGGGAGCCTGCTTCTCCCTCTCCCCCTGCTCATGGCTCTCTCTCTCTCTCTCTCTCTCTCTCGTATCTCTGTGTCTCAAATGAATAAGTAAAATCTTAAAAAAAAAAATGTTACAGTTACCCTACACATGTAGGTTGCTTTTTCTTCTGCCTTTTAATTTATGAAGAGGTAAGCTTTAAGGTTAATGATTGGTTTTAACATAAACACCATTCTTTACTTTTCTTACTCAGTCTAAATGTTGTTAGACTTGTGGGTTGTTGTTAGAGTAGGCAGTTAGTTAGGTTCTAACAGGATACCTGGAGGCCAGGACTGAGGAAGTCATGGCCAGCTATTGGGAAAGTCAGAGGCCTGTCCTGGCAGCACTCCACAAGAAGCCAGATCTAACCAAACAGGCCTGAGATGGTGGATGCCATGACAGGAAACCCCTGACCAAATTAGGAAGAAAAAGTGTAAAACACTGCTTCATATCCCAAGTAATAAACATTTTGCCTCTTAGTTAATAACGGTCAATAAAAGCTAGAAACCGAAACCCCCACGGCACACATTGTTCTTGCTATCATTCTTGATCTCACATCTCCACAGGGTACTTTTTACTTTAATAAACTTCCCGCTTCTGTTACTCATCCACTGTGCTTCATGTCTGTCCTTGAATTCCTCCTCGTGACAAGACCAAGAACCTTCGGCAACTCCTTCAGGTCTGGCTGGGTCGGTGGCTCAGGAACCAGGGTCTCCCCAGTTCACCCAGCAATAGGATGGCCTTAGTCTTAAAGGCAAAATAGGAGTATAACACAATGACATTTAGCGTTTCCCATTCTCCCCCAAGAAAAATCTCAAAAACCCACTTCCCCCAAGAAAAACACGACAATTTTAGAGCTCTAACTGGAGATTAAATTGAGAGTAGGTGGTGTGTGGAGACTAAATAATAAAGGATTAGATTCAACCATCTGTTTTACAGAGGCAACTCTGAGGTTGGTTTGATTAGTGCCTTTCATATTAAGTTCTTGCTTCCCAATTCTGATTCTAACCAACAATATTTTACTATTTTAAGCCTGTGGGGCTCTTCACTATTGCTATTGTAATTGCTATATTAATAGGCAGCAAGAGTTGAAATGGTGAGTCTAATGGACTTTTTTATAGTAGAGTGAATATGTTATTGTGTGGTACTGAATGGAAGCATTACCTATGAATGGCACCAAGCAATCATTCTGTGGTTGGCAGCCCTGGTAATGTAACAAGCAACAATTAAGGAAATACTTTCTAAAATCCCACCATGATGAAAGTACTTAGCTATTTTTCATGCCTAACAAATTCCAGGTGTGGAGACTTTACCACATAAGGGTAGGAAGTGGATGTTGGTAGAGGAGTGACACCATATGCTGAGAGAGAAGAATTACAAGGCTTGAATTCTCACTTCCCTAATTAATAAGTTTAGAGGTAATTTTGTACAGTATTTACATTTCTGCCTGCAAATTCCACAGGTAAATATGTACTATATATTATGCTCTATAGCTTTTTAAGAACTCTGAAGGGTTTGAAACTTTACTCTGTTTGCCTACTACAGTCCCATGAATGCTAGTAGAAGCCAGCAAACTGCTAGGTCAGAGATAAAGGTAATTTATTACTTACAGCCGTAGCAGCAATATATCAGCATTTTTGTGTCAGTTTGCTGAGCTCCAATTCCCACAGGGTGATGTGAAGAAGGCCAAATGACATCTGCATACATATTGGGTTGCATTACTGGAAAAAAATATAGTGAGCTTAGGAAACCCAAATCTTTAATAATGGGTGGTAAGAACGTCTGCCCTTTGCTCAAAGGGAGACTGACTTTTTCTTTTTAAAGGTTTTCATTTATTTGAGAGAAAGAGTGTGAGAGAGCGAGAGCATGAGTGAGGTGAGGGGCAGAAGGAGAAGCAGACTCCCCACTAAGCGGGGAGCCAGATGCAGGGCTCAATCCCAGGACTCTGGCATATGACCTGAGCCAAAGGCAGACGCTTAACCGACTGAGCCACTCAGGCACCCAGGAGACTGACTTCTAAGGCTCTAAGCAAACCTGCCCTTTGCTCTAGAAATGCACACTATCTCTATTGTCCAAGGTTGTTTCCTACACAAAGGAACAAGGGCAGACAGTATACCCCTTACAAGGCAAGCAGAACATGGCCAACTGTCTTCCAACATGGCAAAGTATAACTTTAACGATTTTTTTAATTAACTAGCACTCCTCTACAATATCAAAGTTACAAGTAAACCACAAGACACAATGTAATTTCATAAAGACGGCACATTATTTCGTGCTGTGTAGCATTACCAAAAACCTAGTGGTAATACACGTTTATTATCTCCGTTTTTAGTTAGGAATCTAGGCGTGGCTTAAGTAGTTCCACTGATTAGGGTCTCACAAGACTGCAATCAAGATATTGGGTGAGACTGTGATCTTATCTGAGGTTCTAATGAGGAAGGATATGCTTTTAATCTCACTCAGGTTGTTGGCAGAGTTCAGTTTCTTGAATTGTAGGATTGAAGGTTTTGGTTTCTTGCTGTGGGTTGGAGGTTGCCCTCAGCTTCAAGAAGCTTGTTATGTGGGGTTCCCCAACATGGCCACTTGCTTCCTCCAAGCAAGGGAGAGAGTGAGCAACTCCAGTAAAATGGCCTGTACGGTCTACCTAAGACAATCCCATAGTCACATATATCTCATTGCATTTGACATATTCTGTTGGTTAATGTCTTCCAATATATTTATGGAGGGGGCTGGCTGTTGGCTACTGAAGATAATTAATGTGATTCAGTGAGGAGAAGTCTTTCTGAAGAGGGGAGATTTTAGCTGAGAACTCAAATGATGAAGAGTCAGCAGTGAGAAGATGGGGGACAGGGATGAGGAACATTCTGGGAAGAAGGGACAGAAAGTGGGAAATGTAGCTATGCCCACAGACAAATATTATCATACCATTATAACATTGTATTTTGTTTCTGTGTCTGTTTTCTCCATCATTCAGTAAGCTGTACAAATTATCTCAGAATCTTCAACACCTATTTTATAGTAGATAGTAAATTTGTTTAATAAATGGATGTATTTATTAATTTAGGAATCATTTTATTAAGTTTTCATTTATCAGGAACTTCAGAGATGTAAAATGATCATGTGAAGGCCTGTGCCCACAATGAACTCACAGTTGTGTGGAGCAGAGTTGCAAACAATTACAATTCAAGGTGGTCCATGCTATTGGTACTATTATAGTGTTGGAAGAAAGAATGAAGTCTCACTCTTTTTGGGGGATTTGAGGAAAACTACATAATGGTAGTAAAGTTAGCACTGAGTCTTCAAAGATATCTAAATTAGTTGGGGTGCATAAATAGGAAAAGGCATTTTAGGCAAAGGAATCAGCTTGAGCAAGGGCTTGGGAGTGACAAAGCATATAGCTGGTTTGTAAAACCCCCAAGAAGTTTAGGAGTAAACAAAACCAGGAGTATGTATGGAAAGATGGATAGCATGCCAGGAGGCTTATTCAATAAATGTCTATGGATCACATCAAAAGGACAAAGAAGTCAGCTCTAAGGTGTGCCACTAGCCTAACAGGATCATTTCAGTATCATAAATAATAATGGATTAAGACACATCGGATTTGTAAAATGTATGCATTCCTAATGATACTAAACAAACAAAATCTTACTGGCTAACAGTGGAGGTTGCTAGGGCACCAACTCATTTCTCTGAAATTTTATAATAAAGTGAAAAACCACAGCATTTATCCAGTCTTTCTTCTAGGATCCCGGTATTTCAGGATAACCAATGAGTTGGTGAAAATTGTTTTTTTAAAAAAAGATTTTATTTATTTGAGAGAGAGAGCATAATCCGGGTGAGGGGCAGAGAAGCAGACTCCTCCTTGAGCAGGGAGTCCAACGGGGGAACTTGATCCCAGGACTCCAGGATCATGACCCGAGCTGAAGGCAGACCCTTAACCAACTGAGCCATCCAGGCCCCCCAAAGTTTTTTTTTTTTATAGAATCCCAGCTAATAAAGAAAATCATTAAAAGTATTAGAAATCTACTGTTACAAAACTTAAGAGCTATACCAAAATGCAATGTGAAGATTTTTTTGATCTTTTGATAGGAAAAAAACAACTATTAAATGACATTTTGGCTTTAACCAGGTTAATTTGAACATGCACTATTAGATGACATTAAGGAATTATTAATTAGATGTGATAATGAAGTTAAAAAAATCCGTATCAGTTTGAGATGCACATTAAGGGTAAGATAATGCCTGGGATTAGTTTCAAAATACTCAAGCACGGAGCGGGAGAGGGGATGAAACTAGATTGGCAAAATGTTAACTGTTGATTCTTGGTGACGGGTCCGTGAGGGTTATTAAAAGTGGATTCACTTTTGCCTATGTTTAAAATTTTCCTTAATAGTTTTAAAAAGCAGAAGTCCCGCGGAAAGGGGATGTCCGAAATGAAAGACCCCAACTATTCTAGGAGATTCTCAGATTTCCCAGGGCTTTCCGAGAGTTGTGAACTGTAATTGCCGAATCGGAGCTGGATTTGAGCAGCAGATTCCGGCTCTCCGGGAGCTGACCCAGGGTGGGCGGTTGAGAGCTCACAGCAGTTTTGGGAGCATAGTGGGAAGCGAGGACATATTTCCCTAACCCGGCGGCCTCCCCTCCTCAAGCCTGCCCTTCTTTTCAATCTTCCTTCCCTCCGAGCCCCACACGCCGCTCACGCACTTGGACGAATCTCTTTCTCTCCTATTCTTCCTCTCCAGCGCCTAGCTCCACCCCTAACTCTTCCTGACCCTACTTGTCCTCTCCCACGACAGCCCCGCCCCTTCCGTTTCTAGCCCCGCCCCATGTATTCGCCCCGCCCTTCCCCTCCTGCTCCTCGCCCCGCCCCTTATCTCGGCGCTGAGGAGGAGGTTACCATAGCGACCGTGCACACAGCAGCTAGGCGTCCCTCGTTGGTCCCCGGCTGGCCGGAGGGAAGAGGCGACACCATGAGCCATGTGGTGACTATCGAGGAGCCCCAGGCCAACCCGCAGGTGTCTCAGACCCGGTGCGGGATCAGGTCGGGGGCCTGGGGCAACGTCTCCTCCAATCGACAATATGATTTTCTGTACGGTAAGGGTGGCACCAGACCTCCCTCCTGAGGTGTTGAGTTCTGGGCTGGGTGGGCTTCGGGACGGTGGGACCGGGCCAGGGGCCCGGTGAGCGGAAGATGAGCCTCAGGACGGATCCCTTGTCCGCGGTTATCCTTTGTTGGGTGGGAGCAGCTCCGAGCTCCGCAGGTGGCGGCGCTCTCCGGGCGCGTCGGAAGCCCCAGGTGCGCTCAGAGTCCCGGAGCACCGCGCGGGATCGCCTTACTGCTCGCCGCCTGTTACCACCTTTTCCTGATAATTTGCACAGCCTTAAGTAATCTTCCCGAAACCTGTTTCCGGTGTTTTGCTATCCAGAAAAGTATGTAATGATTTGCAGGCTTGGAGATTCACTCAACATTCCCACGTTCAAACTGTGTAAAGTGCCCGACAAAAATGACCTTCCCGCCCCCATTCTCCGGGCAACTCCAAATTTGACTTTGTAGATAAAGGAGTAGCAGTTTATCTCACGTTTGTTTCTAGTTTTTCTCTTTTTAAAAAAAACTTATTGTTACTCATCAAAGCATTGCTTATAAACTAGGTCCACTGGATTCTTTTGGGTCAATAAAGACAGGCCCAGTTTGTTTTAATGCCCTGCTTGTCCGTTTGTGTTCTGTCTCTTTTACTGGACCGTAAGTTTCTTGAGTTCTTTAGGTACTTGTTTTATACAGTTTTCCAGCCTTCTTAGCACCTATTCCAGTGTTGGTACATATGCAAGGTACTTCATAAATGCTTAGTGAATTTTGAATTTACTATTAAAAGAATTTTAATCAGTTAAACATGATTTTTTCTAATTTTGCCCTCATCAGTCTCATGCTCTTCACCTGAAACTTGCATTGCTTTTAACCATGTGGTATCTCCTCCTAAGATTCCCAGGATCATCTTTGGATGGGAATCCACAGGTTACCCATTTCCTGGTATAGGGGCTATGTAATGGTTGCTTACATTTTATAGCCAGTGGTTTTCTTTATCCATTCTTGGTTTCATTTTGAAAAATAAGTCTAGTAAACTGTAAACACATCACCGTGTTGATTTCAAAGGTAATTTGGAAATTGGATAGACCTCTTCAGGAAAGACAGGCAAACAATTTACCAAGCTTCTTGTCTCTTTTATTCTTAAAAGTATTCCTTTCTCTCTCTCTCTTTTTTGCAGGGAGATGCTAAATGTCTCCATGTCCCTTGCAAGGAACAGAAACCCACTCAAAATAGGCCAAATAAAGTTTGGATTGTTCCAATAAAACAGGCAGTCTCACAGCTATTAATGGACAGGAAGCATAGTATAGCCAGGACAAAGTAGAACCAAGACAGGGAAGGTCAGAACTAAGGTATGGTGCCCTTCTGCGTGATTTCTTAGACCTTATGGTTTTTTATCTTGTTTAGGTTGTCAGATTTAGCAAGTAAAAATACAGGATGCACAGTTAAATTTGAATTTGAAATAAATAACAAATAATATTTTAGTATATTTATTTATATATTTAGTATAAATTTTTGGCCCCATGCAATATTTGTGATCTATTTATATAAAAAGTTATTCATTGCCTATATGAAATTTAAATTTAACTGGGCATCCTGTATTTTATCTGTCAACAGATATGTTGCATCCTGTATTTTATCTGTCAACAGATATGTTGCAGAATGTGTAGTCATAAATCATACAGTATTGTGCCATTATCTTCTCTAGATGGCAGGAATGTTTCTATGGATAGCACGTCTTTGTACTCCTTATGGGAAGAAGAGGAGAATAGCTTATAATTTATTATTCAGATTTAGGGGAAATGCAGGCTAAACTCATTTAAGATGAACAACACAGTTGGAACCATAGACCCAATGACATCTTTTAAATCACTTAAAATAAGAGTATGAATAGAAATTTCCCATTGGGGACGCCTGGGTGGCTCCGTCAGTTAAGCATCTGCCTTCGGCTCTGCTTCTCCCTCTCCCTCTGCCTGCCGCTCCCTGCTTATGCTCTCTCTCTCTGTCAAATAGATAAATAAAAAATCTTAACAAAATTTCCCTTTGTCCCCAATATATCAGACATGTTGAAGGTATAGGCTTTGTCCCTTTAAACAGGTGCATTCATTCAGCCTTCAAATTCATGAGCCTGTAATTTGAGGTCATAAAATCTGGCCTCATCATTCCTAATCAGCCCAGTTTCCATCACTTCTCAACTTGAATCATAGGTGTGGATTTGGGTGCTGCAGCTAAAGAAGAGTATATTAAAGGTGATGATTCCCAAATTCATATCACTGGTCCAGACTTCTCTCCCAAACTCTAGATTCTTATGTCAAATTGCCTACTTCATTTCTCCACTTGGACATATAAGAGACACCTAAGGCATGCTTTTCATGTTCTCCCTACAAACCTGCTCCACCACAGGCTTTCCTGTGTCAATTGATACCAATCCCATACTTTAGTTGCTAAGTCTAAAAATCTTGGAGCCATCATTGTCTCATCTCTCTCTCTCTCTGACACACACCATTCCAATCCATTAAGTCCTCTCTGGTCCCACCTTAAAAATATATCTAGAATCCTGCCCCATTTCATCACTTCTCTTGCCACCACCATCATTTCTTCTCTAGGTTCACTGCATGAGCCCCCTAATAGGTCTCCCTGTCTTTTCCATTGTTTCCATGCAGTCTGTTCTTCACTGGGCAGCCACAATGAACATTTTATTATTTTTTTTAAAGATTTTATTTATTTATTTTAGAGAGAGAGCACATGAGTGAGTGGGCAGAGGGGTAAAGGGGTAGAGAGGGAGGGGAGAAGGAAAGAGAGAGAATCCCAAGCAAACTCCACACTGAGTGCAGAGCCCTATTTAGGGCTCAATCCCACAAGCCTGAGATCATGACCTGATCTGAAACCAAGAGTCGGATGCTTAACCGCCTGAGCCACCCAGGAGCCCCTACAATGAACATTTTAAAATGTAAGTCAGATTTTGTCACATCTTGTCTCAAAATCTTGAAATGGTTTCCCTCCTCACTCAGATTAAAAGCCAAAGTCTTTTCAGTGGTCCACAAAGCCCCATGTGATCTAGGCCCCTGGTAACTTGCCTGACCTTTTATCTACCATATTTTGCCTCTCTCACTCTGTTTCAATCCTGTTGGTCTCTGCTGTTTTTCAAACATGTCAGGCATGCTGCCATCCTAGGGCCTTTGCTCTAGCTGTTTCCTCTGCCTCAAATGCTTTTCTTTCAAATAACAGTATAGTTAACTCCCCACTTGCAAGTCTCCTTAAATGTCACCCCTTGGGGCACCTGCGTGGCTCAGTCAGGTTAAGCATCTGCCTTTGGCTCAGGTCGTGATCCCAGGGTCCTGGGATCGAGCCCCATGTCGGGCTCACTACTCAGTAGGTAGCCTGCTTCTCCCTCTCCCTCTGCTGCTCCCCCTGCTTGTTCTCTCTCTTTCTCTCTCCTCTCTCTCTCTGTCAAATAAATAAATAAATAAATAAATAAATAAATAAATAAGGTCACCCCTCAATGAGGCCTGGCCTGCCCTGACTCCCCTGTGTAAAATTGCAATCCAATCTCCATTACCTGCTCTTTCCCCACTTTTTAAAATAACACTATCCTCTAACATATTATATAATATGCTAATTTGTTTTGTTGTTTATTGTCTCTCTCTCATGAAGTCAGGGATCTTTATCTTTTTCTTGATATGTTCCAGGCACCTTGAACATAGTAACCTGTCAATAAATCTTTCTTGAATGAAAGAGAGCTGAGCCTCTTGTAGTTTTTCAACCTTGGGAGAATATTAAATGTCTGCATTCAATATATCATTTTTGTTGGGTAACTGAGGACTTATTAGACTCTAGGAATTGACTCACATTATCTAAATTAAATTAAATTTAAATTACTTATAAATCACAATAACAATTATTAATTTCTGTGAATAAATATGTTGCCAAGTCATCTAGACTAGTTGGTCAAGGTATTTGTTTCTCAAGAGATATCTACTAGGGAAATCAAGTCTCTATCTGAAGGTTGCTTATGAATTTAATATCATATTGTTTAATTTTAAGGGATAGTATAATCGATCATAAATATTCTTCATTGCTTTAAAGATATACCTAACAAGTCCATACTTATAATAACAGGGCAATCTTTTGTGGAACTTTGGAGAAAAAACTTAGTCCCATCATCAACATCCTTCTAAATTTAAGGAGTGAATTATAGCTGATTTTATTTATTTATTATTAGAGAATGACATTTTCCTACTATGTTTATCAATTCTGAGGTGACATGTTGTTAAGAGTTTGTATCTTTCCCTTGTACTGAATATGGGAGGTAGTGCCCCCAATGTGTTATTTCTTTTACTTGTAAATGGGTGTAGTTAGCATATACAGGGTCTCTCATCTTAGAGTATTTCCTGGGCTACCCAGACCCAGAAAGTTGTTTGTTCATAGGAGAGAAAAGACGGTGTGTTTAGGCTCTGGTGCTTGAGGACATCTCAGGCCTACTTTTTGCCTTGCAATTCTATAACCTGACTTTGGAATATACAGAGGAGAAATGCATCTAACAGACTCTCACTTGTGATAGAGTAACAGGGCAATGAGCTACTGTAGAGTTAGGCAATATCTAAATCTTGTAATTTTTTTTCCAAATAAGAAATTACATTATTTTGCCATTATTCTCAGTCTAGATATATTCCATTCCTTATACCACCTTATTGTTTATTTTGCAGATCCATTGTTTATTGTGTCAAGTGAGAAAGACCACACGCAGGCAAATATCCAAGCTAACCTGATTCGAAACAGACTGGTAGGTCTAATTCAATCACTAAGGCAGCCTAATGAACTTGAACTATCCAGTTTTGCTAACCACACTAATCAGATTGACTAATCATGAGATCTCCAGTGGATTTTATATTCTGCAGAAATTACTCTGCCATGATTACTAGGGGATAAGACATCTTGATACTTGTGGCCCAATGTGAAGATTAATTAACTAATAGTGAATAAAGGACTCATTATAACCTAATTTATTTCAGTGGGAAAAGTTATATATGCCTGTGTTAAGTTAAAAGAATTCAAGTAGTACAAAAACATATACAGTATGAAATAAATTCTAACCCTCATCCCCCTTCTCATAATCATCCACTGTTATCAGTTTCTTGGGTATCTTTCTAGAGATATTCTATGCACATACAATTACCCTTCTTTCTATGCTACATACACTATTGTGTACCATTTAAAATTTACAATAACAAAATGCTTTAGAAAATCTGATGGTAAAATTTTGTCCTTTTCCTCCCTATCTCCCTGTCCTAATTTTAGAGAAAAGTTCCCAGGTTTAGAAGCATGTTCAGTAACCTGATCCATTATCCAAGATATTCTCTGTATTGGAGCAACGCAGACCCTGTCCCACCATTCATCCGCCGGGAATGGAAAGGACAGGAGGAGAAACACAGAGAAGCCCTTGGGCAGCTTGCCATGTAAGTGTCAGGTAGCTTCGGGGGCCACTCATGTTTTTAATGAATGCATTTTTCTTCTTAAGATTTTTTATTCTGCATTTTTTAAAAGTATAATTGGGATGTTACACCTAGGTCAATTGACCCCAAATTCTCTCTCTTAAACCCCCTAGCCAAAACAAGCCTGATTCAGGGGCAGTGGTTATGGGTTTATGGGTTAGTAGATATTCTCAGAAGCTTGGAGTGAATATATATATATATAATATATATATATATAAAATGACAATTTGCCACCAAAGGTAGAGGTAGAGGTGACTGAATTTGTTTCTTTGATCCATCTTAGAAATTGCAACTATACACTTCTGCTAGTATCTAAATATATATATATATGTATTTGGAGATTTGCAGCCAAAACACCTTCAGAGACAAGTCTCTTGAATTCTTTATTCTTTTAATTATTTATAAGTCATGCCTAGTAAATTAAAAGAAAAAAGCTACCTTTCAGCCTGGACATAAAAATATCTCTTAAAACTCTATTATTCCTATGTACTATTAATTAAAAGTGTGCATTTTTGTATGTGAGATTTCATAAATCTACTCTTTTCTTACTCTTACTTCCCCTTGTTAGCTCCCGGTTTCCTGCTCAGGGAAAGTAATTATTATGTAGTCTGAGATAGGTCAGTCAGATGCATGTTATAGAAGACTTTGCTCTCAGTCTCAGATACCCTGTGCATCTCCCACTTTACAGACATAAAAATATGAAATAGAAATTATATTTGGAACTAATATGTTAGAGTTTAATAATGTTTTCCTGCTTCATTTTAGAATTGATAAGTCTTTTCAGATGGCTAAAGAGGCTTATGAAGATCCTGAAGTTACTGGAAGGAATCGCTATAAATATTTTGAAAGGTAAGAAGTAATTACTAATGAAAATGAGCCCTGATATTATTAGAAAATGTCTTTATGATAATGATAGCAGCTATCAGTTTTGAGTGCATGCAATGTGTCAGGTACCAGTTTAAGTGCTTTATATATATAATCAATTCTCTTTTTAGATTGTATTTTTAAGTAATCTCTACACCCAACGTGGGGCTCCAGCTCACAACCCTGAGATCAAGAGTTGCATGCTCTACCAAGTGAGCCAGCGAGGTGCCCCTATATAACCAATTTTTACAACAGGAATGTAGGATAAGATATATTTTCCCTATTTATCAGTAAGGAAGCTGAGACGAAGAGAGGAAAAATAAATTACTTGAAGTCTCTTAAGTAAGCAAGTGGCAGATCTGGGATTCCAGCTAAAGCTGCCTAACTTCAGAGGTACTAGCTGTAAATAAGAATGTATATTTGAGAACAAAATGAAGTCATCAAATCAAGTGAGATACAGCAGAGACATCATGACAGTATAGTACATGGGAAATTGTTATAAGTGGCCAATAGACAACATTCACTGTCTTTTTGTGAATGTTGCCAAAACCAATATGGTCGAAAGTTTCACTTTGTTTCATTTGTGATCAATACTCATGTGATAATCATATAGTCAGATTAAAATAAAATGAGGGTCTCCCTATAGGTCTTCTGTGGTTAGAGAAATAGTCTTGGTGCCATATGTACATAAGCTTCCTTGAGAAAGTAAATTTGTAACCCACGTTGTTACTTGTGAGCAACCTCTTTAGAGAAGTTTTATAATGCTGACTTTTTAGAGCAATGTTAAATTTTCAACACAGTATACTCAATTCCTAGACTTTCTGGGGGTAGTTTTTAAAACTAAATCACTGAGAATTTCAGAATGTCTCAGGGAACTAGAGAAGTTGCTGGGAGCTCATGACCAGCTGAAGCCCAGGTATAAGGCATTACTTCTGAAAGTATGATTTCTTTACCATCTGCAGGGAAAACATTGGAATGTCTATTACAAATGTAGATTCATTAGCTCTGTCTTAAATCTACTGGATCTCCTGGGCTGGACTTGGTAATTTGCATTTTAAACAAAAATCTCCCCACTCTCCAGTGATTTTGTGTTTGTCCAGGTTTGAGGATTAGCAATATGCGTTATTCAAGCTCACTGATTTTAAGGGACTAATATGAGAGTTGTAATAAAGCCCAGAGAGCACACAGTGTAAAAGTCCCACACGTTTGTGTTCTTCTTTCTCCACCAGGCCTTTCCTTCCATTTCATCAACAGATGCCATTTAATGTTGTTTTTGCAGCAACCAAGTAAGTAACCATTATTTTACAACTTTTTTTCCTGGTTTTTTATTTATTGTTTGTTCCCATATTTGTTTCCAGAAGTTCTGTAAATCAACATTTTTCAAATTCCAGATCACAAATCATTAGAAAGTCATGACATATTTTAGTGGGTGATGAACAGTATTTTAGCAAATGAAATAGAAAATAACCAGAAGCATCAGATACATTGAGGGTAAATTGCCTTTTTGCTAATAACTTCTGTTTTGGGTAGATATATACATTTTTTCATATGTAATGATTATGATGTAAAATGTATTTCTTATTATGTGTTATGGTAAAAATAAAAGTTAAAAAATGCTTTAAATATCATCTTTTGCTTCCCTGAAACGCACATTTATTTGGGAACAGCTCTTCAACATTTTATCAAGAAAACTAATCAGTTATAAAATAGTTTTTGAGTACTGGAAGTTCATAATTTAATAATCATAATCTACACAAGGTAATTTAATATACGAAGATCAATGCAACATGGTTTCTGTCCCACAGAGGGGTGGACCAAGGTGAGAGAGAGGTAAAGGACAAGGGCCGAATCTGGGATGAATGTGCAGTTCTCCAGTCTTGTTTTAGGGCTATACTGTTTCCTGAGTCAGTATAACTTAATTTGTGTATAAGAGAAAAAAATAAAATGATCAGGAAACGAAACCTTTTTTAAGGTATCAGATTTCTGAACAGAAATTTAGATAGGGCTTCACTTTCAAACAAGCCTTTAAAGGATACCCTAACGATACAGCATTTTATGAATAGAATATATGTTATCAAATGTCTGTAATCCTCAAGATAAGTGCCAGTTGTGAACCTGATTCTCTGATTTTTTAATTCTTTTTTGAAGATTATTTATTTATTAGAGAGTGCATGAGCAGGATGGCGGGGGGCGGGGGGTGCGTATGCAGACTCCCCACTGAGCAAGGAGCCTGACACGGAGCTTGATCCCAAGATCATGACCTGAGCCAAAGGCAGACACTTACCTGACTGAGCCACCCAGGCACCCCTCTCCTCTGATTTTTTAAGACTATGCGTGGATACTATTGGCTCTTATATAGATGGAGAATAGATTTCTTGCCCTCCCCCTAGAGAGATCAACTTTGTGTGGTGTCAGTTTACTTGGGGACAGCTACAGACTTGTTTTCAGTGAAATGCTCTGTATGAGAAAAGGAGAACATATGAGATTGGTGGATCCCTATAGATACCTTTGATAATTCTTTAAAAGCAGGCTTAGTGGATCACCTACTATGGAGGTAATAATTACATCAGGTCTAAAAGTTGTTTAATTAATTGTGGGGAGTTCTGAGGTCTACAGCGATGAACACTGAGCCTCTTCTTTTCTAAATAACTGTGACGTGGGAGATTCCCTATAAGAATTAAACTGTAACGGTTGGCATCTTAGATACTCTTTGTCTTTCTTAGAAGTTTTTAAAGAATTAATCAGTATCCCTGAATGAAGTCAACTCTGGGATTCTGGCAGGGTTCAATTTCTGAGCAATGAGGATAATCCACCTTATGTTAGCAGGGATAGAATTGTCTGGGGGACCAGCTGGCCTTCTCCAGCCATACCCTTTTCATGGTTAGCTGTTGGAGTCTTTACTTTGGACTCATGTAAGCATCTTGGGGAAAAGGATAAAAAGTTAACATTTTTAAAAAGTTCAGTGGTGGATTTTAGTTCCACATGTAAGGAGCTTGGCAGTTGCCACCTGTCCTAACAACAAGTAAGAAGCAACAACTTTTCTTGGATCTGTAAGAAAAGGGGAGAATTCAGGACAAACTGCTCCCCTAAGATTAGAGAGGCATGTTTACAAGGAGGCATGGCTTCCCAGAATCCTAGAGATTCATGAGTGGAAACCACTCCAGAAACCAAGTCCAGGTAGGAAAGCCTGAACAATAATTAATGAATTGCTGGAGGCTCTGAGAATTAAATTCTAGGGGGACCTAGTCATTGGGGTTCCCACAATTTTGTGAGATTTACCTCCAGGACCTCAACTAGGTTCTCACAGGGCATTTGGGGAAAAATCCCCTCATGCTCTTCGTAGGGGGAGTGGAAAGGAAACCATTTTGGAATATGCCAGAGCACTCTGTTCTTCTTAACAAGGTCAACCGTTAGGAGAAACTAGTTAACCAGAGCCTAACCTGCTGGGTATTATTAGAGCCTAACTGACCTGGGGGTAGGAAAATATGCAACTCTAGCCTCCTCTAGCCATCTTGCCCCACCTAGGAGGGGGGTGGGGAGAAAAAACTGAGAAACACTTAAGAAATTCACAGTCCATATACATAGGCTCACCAAAAGACTGAGACATAATCATAGGATAATAGAACACTTATCTTCCCCCCCCCCCCCTCACCTCACCCCCACAACCCCCACATTACTAAAGGCCTATTTACAGTAGTTTTTCTTACCCAGTACATTATGTGTAGCAGTCAAGAAACAAAAGGCATACTGAAAGGCAAAAAACACAATTTGAAGAGACAGCATAAGCATTAGAACCAGACATGGCAGTTATGTTGGAATTATCAGATCAGGAATTTAAAACAACTATGATTAACATGCTAAGGGGCTCTAATGGATAAAGTGGATAGCATGCAAGATCAGATAGACAATGTATGCAGAGAAAAGGAATCTTAAAGAACGAAAAAAAGAAATGCTAGAAATAAAAAATGCTGTAACAGAAATGAAGAATACCCTTGATGGGCTCATTAGTAGGCTGGACATAGCTTAGGAAAGAATTTTGGAGCTAGAAGATATAACCATAGAAAGCTATAAAACTGGAAAGCAAAGAGAATAAAGACACAAAGACTGAAAAAAAAGAACAGAATATCCAAGAACTGTGGGCAACTACAAAGATATAATAAATGTGTAATGGAAATACCAGAAGAAGAAAGAGAGAAAGGAACAGAAGACATATTTGAAGCAATAATGATTGAGGATTTCCCCAAATTAATGTCAGACACCAAACTACAGAGTTAGGAAGCTCAGAGAACACCAAGCAGGATAAATGCCAAAAGAAGTACACTGAGACATATCATATTCAAACTAAAGAAAATCAAGATAAAGAAGAAATTTTGACAGAATCTAGAGGACAAATATGCCTTACTTATAGAGGAACAAAGATGAGAATTACTTCTGACTTCTCAGAAATCATGTGAGCAAGAAGAGAGAGAAGTGAAAATTTGAAGTGTTGAGAGAAAAAAAAATCAACCTAGAATTCTGTATCCTGTGAAATTACCTTCAAAGGTGAAGGAGAAATAAAAACTTTCTCAAACAAAAATTGAGGAAATCTGTTGCTACTAGACCTGCCTTACAAGAAATGTTAAAAGAAGTTCTTTAGAGAGAAGGAAAATAAAAGTCAGAAACTTGGATCTGCATAAAGAAAAGATGGAATAAATGAAGATAAAATGAAAAGTTGTGTTTTTTAATCTGACAGTTGACAGTTTGTTCAAAATAATAACAACAATGTATTTGGAAACATATATGCAGTTGATACACAGTTGACTCAAAAATATGGGGGTTGGGGCACTGACCCTCGCATATTAGAAAATCCATGCATAACTTTGACTCCCCCAAAACTTATCTACTCATAGCCTACTGTTGACTGGAAGCCTTACCAATTATATAAACAGTTGATTAACACATACATATTTTGTATATTTATTATGTACTATATTTTTTACAGTAAAGTAAGATAGAGAAAAAATGTTAAAATCACAAGAGAAAATACATTTATAGTACTGTACTATATTTATGAAAAAAAATCCATGTGTAGGTGGATCTATGCAGTTAAAACCTGTGTTCAAAGGTCAACTGTGTGTGTGTGTATGTGTGTGTGTGTATGCTTATGTATGCTTATATTTAAGTAAAATGAATGACAGCAATGATAAAGAGATGGAAGGGAAGAATTAGGATTGTTTTGTTAATTATATGATGTGTATATGTTGTCAACTATATGTTGTCAAGAAATCCACTTTATTTTTTTATTAAGTTTTTAAATTTTAATTCCAGTATAGTTAACATACAATGTTATATTAGTTTCAGGTGTACAATATAGTGATTCAACCAGTTCTATACATTACTCAGTGTTCAGCATGATAAATGTACTGTTTAATCCCCACATCTATTTCACCCATCTCCCCCAGCTACCTCCCCTCTAATAACTATCAGTTTGCTCTCTATAGTTAAGCGTCTATTTTTTGTTCTCTCTCTTTTTAAAGAAACCCACTTTAATTATAAAGACACATATAGATTTTAAGAATTTTAAGAATTTATTTTTAAGTAATGTCTACACCCAGTGTGGGGCTTGAACTCAAAACCCTGAGATCAAGAGTCACAAGGCCCACCAACTGAGCAGCCAGGCACCCCATAATGTGTCCTTTTTTTTTCTTTAATGTATACTGTATGCCCAGTGTGGGGCTTGAACTCACAACCCCAAGATCTAAGAGTTGCATGCTCTATTGACTGAGCCAGTCAGGTGCCCTGAGACACCTATAGATTAAAAGTAAATGGGTAGAGAAAAATACATTATGCCAGCACTAATTAAAAGAAAGCTGCAGGAGTTATACTAATTTCAAACAGAGCAGACTTCAAAGCAAGGAAGATTATCAGGGATAAAGAGAGGCATTACACAATGATAAAAGGCTCAGTTCTCCAAAAAGACATACATTATTTCATGTGTATGCACCTAACAATATCAAACTACATAAGGCAAAAACTAATAGAATTACAAAGAGAAATGGATGAATCCATTATAGTTGGAGACTTTAATACCCTTCCCGTAGAAATGGACACATCTAGCAGGCAGCAAATCAGTAAGGCTCTAGTTGAACTCAAGAACACCATCAGTCAACTGGATATAATTGATATCTACAGACTACTTCATCCAACAACTGCAGAATACATATTCTTCTCAAGTTCACATGGAAGATTCACCATGATAGAGTACATTCTGGGCCATAAAACACAATTTAACAAATGTGAAAGAATA